CTCCTAACCTCTCTGTGCCACAGATTCCTCACTTATAAAATGAGAACGATATTAGTTTGTATCACATAGGGTTATCCTACAATTAAAGGAGTTAAGACATGTAAAGCACATATAATAGTGACTGGCACATACAAATCACTCAGTACATTTTAGTCATTATCATTAATATTAAATAGAACTAATTATATAGTTACCCAAAAGATTTAGTAATGCAAGTGCTTTTGATAAACTGTAAAGCATACAGGAAGATCTTTGCCACCACCATTCTTAAAAATATCAATATAATGGCAGTGGCTGATCCATCATGATTTCCAGAATTAATTCACAAGCTACAGCCACATTATAATTTTTTTGAAGAGATGAAATGGTGAATGTGACACTGGCTTTTGTCAATAATAGAATGACAGGCAAAATCGTGATGGCTTAATTAAAGGTTCATCACCTGACTTCAAACATAGTCCTGCTGATAAGCATGGTCAGTTCTAGGACTAATCCAGTTTCAGACATTCAAGGTATTTTCACTCTCCATGTTCTGGGAGCCAAGGCAGGAGGGGACTATGAGAACCAGAGCTGGGTCTGTTGCTTTGCTTCTAACAAGTTGGCAAGTCTCTAATGTGTGTCAATACACAAATAGGAGTGACTGTCCACTCCTATCAACCCCATAAAGTTAAAAAAATATATTATTTTTGGCTATCAGATTGAAAAAATAAAAGATCTTGAAAGTCTTTGGAACTCATTTTACCTGTACAGAAGGGAAAACTGAGGCCTAGAGAGGGGAAAGGACTGTTGAAAGTCTCACAGTAAGGTGTGGCCAGGGCTAGAACCCAGGTCTCTGGACTCACTGCCCTTCCACTGGCGATTGCCTTCCAAAATCTCAATGCTCCCCACCCTGGGAGCTCCATGTCCTTAAACGGAAGGTAATGGAGGCTCAATGATAGTTGCAGAATCAGTCCTTCTGTTCAGAAGTGGAGCCACCACCCCACCCCGCAAGCCACCCCGCCAACCTCCCTGTCCCTGGCAACCACCAATCTGTTCTCTGTATCTATGAGCTCAGTTTTTTTGTGTTTTTAAGATTCTACATAAGAGAGATCATATGGTTTTTGTCTTTTTCCATCTGACTTACTTCACTTAGTAATACCCTCAAGTTCCATCCATATTGTCGAAAATGTCAAGACTTCACCTTTTTGGTGGCTGAGCAGTATTCCACTGTAAATATGTTCCACATCTTCTTTACCCATTAATTCGTTGATGGATGCTTAGATTGTTTTCATATCTTAGCTATTATAAATAATGCCACAATGAACATAGGTATGCATACAACTTTTCAAATTAGTGTTTTTGTATTATTCAGATAAAGATCCAGAAGTGAAATAGCTGGATCAGATGGTAGTTCTATTCTTAGTTTTTTGAGGACTCTCCATACTGTTTTCCGTAGTAGCTGTACTAATTTAAATTCCCACCAACAGTGCATCAGCTTTCCCTTTTCTTTGCATATTCTCTAACACTGTTTATATAATCAAGAAAAAAATATTAAGATTCATGCACTAAATTTCAAGATTTGAGTATTCAGATTTAATGAAAATAGGTACTCTTCCTCAAAATAACCCCATTGAAATACAGTTTACCTATCATTCATCCAACTAATATTTATTCTTTGTTCTCTGTATTAGAAATACAAAGTAGAAAGACATTAGAAGGTTTACAATTTAGTAGGAGGAGAAAGATCAATCAGTGATTACACCATACATTGGCAAATACTAAGAGAAAGTTATACTCAAGACCTGTGTGAACATAGACTGAGGGAGGAGGCCAAATGAGAATCAGGGCTTGGGATGGCTTCCTAGAGGAGACGATTCTTGAGGAAGATGTATAAGAACGATAGAAAACTGGTGTTACAGAAAAGGAAGCAAAGATAAGGAAAATTAGAGTAAGATGAGAAATAGTATTCCAAGAAGAAATTGACTATGTAAACATAGGGATGATGAAATGTAAGAAGTGTTGGAAGATAAAGCTGGGAGATAAACAGCGCAAGGTTAAGAAAGGTTTTTATGCTGTTAAGGAGAATACCACAGGCCCAAAGTGGCATAACTTGTGCTAAAGCCCATGATACCAAACCTAATTGCTGTTTCGACCTTTCCTATATCACTTCTTTTTTTTATCCATGGATACTTAGATTATTTCCATATCTTGGCTATTATAAATAATGCTGCAATGAACATAGTGGGGGGGGGCATATATCTTTTTGAGTTAGTGTTTTCATTTTCATAGGCTAAATGCCCAGAAGTAGAATTACTAGATCAGTTGGAAGTTCTGTTTTTAATTTTTTGAGGAACCTCCATTGTTTTCCATATTGGCTGCATCAATTTACATTCCCACTAACAGTGCACGAGGGTTCCCTTTCCTTCACTTCCTCGCCAATACGTGTTACTTCTTGTTACCTCTTGTTACCTCGCCAATACTTGTTTTTGTTTTTGCCTATGTGGGGATTATATTGTATGCTGTTTTTATCTCAGTTTTATTGAAAAAGAATAGACATACACCACTGTATAAGTTTAAGACATACAGAATGATGGTTTGATTTACATACATTGTGAAATAAATACAATAGATTCAGCTAACATTCATCTCATATAGATACAATAAAAAGAAAATAATAAAGCAAAAAATAATTTTTTTTCTATGTTGAGAACACTTAGGATTTACTTGCTTAACAACTTTCCTACATATCATACAGCACATGTTAGCTATAATCTTCAGGTTGCATATTGCATCCTTAGAACTTATTTGTCTTGTAATTGGGAGTTTGTACCTTTTGACCATCTTCCTCCAATTACTCCCTCCCTACCCCTTCATTGTGGTTTTGATCTGCATTTGAAGACGCCACAGATTTCCCCATGCTATACATCTTCCTGACGGATACACCCTCCCATTGCAAGTCCCCACGCTCATGTGGTTCTATTCAAGATCATTCCACATCCTCCAAGTCTCCTGAATAACTCTTTAATCTCTAGCTCACAAGAACTTTGATTCGAATTAATTTAGAACTGTATTTGGGATTGGGGGTAGTAGGTGTTAAAGACAGCACCCCCACCCCTGCTGGCTCATTCATTGCACACCTTGGTCAAGAGCTAAAGAATTATACTACGTACAGGTTTCAGTTTTCCCACCAATGGGGTAGAGAGCAAGAGGTCTGGCTTTAACGTATTGTACGTAAGTACCTAGGACGTCAAAACGTCGCAAAATTACCGAGCGGCGCTCTGCTGGTTCTCACAGCGCCTGCGCAGATGCCTCCAGTCGCTCAGCGCTGTTGGAATGTGTCCCCGCCCACTTCGCGCCCTCGAAGACTCGGCGATCCGCAGGCTGCTGTCAGCTGCTTCCGGTTTCGGCGCCGCCACAGGCGCGCCTGCCGAGCGCCAAGCAACCGATGCAGATGGCGGCTGCGACTGTGTGAGGAGCCGCGGAGGCTCAGAGCCCGGGCCGAGGACTGGACAGGCCTGCGAGCCCGCAGGAGCCCGGCCTGGTACAGCGGGTCGGGCCAGGCCTGAGGGGTCGGGGGCGCTGCTCGCCTCAGGCACGGAGACTGGCGGGCCGTGCGGGTGTGGGATGAAGTGGTTGTGGTGGGTGTGACGTGCGCGGTGGGCCAGCTGGCTTTCGGGACGTGCAGTTCGCTCGTGTGTGTTTGCCTGCAGTAGGGTCCGTTTGGGTGTATGGTGCCGCGGGGCGTGTACAGTTGGGTTTGGATACGCATTTGAAGGGTGCGTGGGTGGTCTAATGGATGGTCGTGTTTGGGTCTCTGGTTGTGTGAGGTTGAGGCGTTTGGTGCAGTTTGTGTGCAGTTGTTTGTAGCGTTTTATGTGGCGTGTGATGTGTGAAGTTGTCGTGTCTGCACTGTGGGGTTGAGTCGTTCATATGTGTGGTTTTGCGACGTGTGCATAACCGTGTCGAGTTGGGTGGAGGCGGGTTGTGTGCGGTCGTGACGCGGTGACGAGTGCGGCTGTGGGATGTGTAGTTTATGCGGCATGGGGCCGCATAGCATTCATGCCGAATGTATAGGTGCAAGATATGTAGGGTTTATTTTGTTTTTGTTTTTGTTTTTGAATGGTTTAGAGTGTGAGGACTTGCATACATTATGGTTTGGTGGTTTATGTAGTCTGGCTTGGTGGTTTATGTAGATGGTTTTGTGGTGTGTGTGTGGTTGTATGATCTTACAGTTCAGTTCGTTCATTGAGTTTCTTCGGAGTTTGTGCCAGGCGCTGTGCTAGACCTTGGGGTTATAATGGGGGAAACAGACATCGTCTCTGTCCTTACAGAGCTTACAGGTTTATGAATTCAGTCACTTAAGATACTTGTGATATAAATTGAGATCACTGCTGTGAAGTGCAGGAGTTGTCAGATGGGAGAATGCTTCAAGAGGCACTTCCTTGAGGAAGTGAGGTTGGATTGAGATGTGAAGGGTGTATATGTGTTTGATTTGTGGTTGTGAGGGGTGAGTGCACAGGAAGGAAGGGGCCTGTCAGCGTGTCAGAGGAACCACTGGCTGGGGAGGGAACTGGAGCTGCTGTTTCAGTGACTATTTGGAAAAGGGGCTAAGATCCACTTGTATATATAGTCTTTGGATTTCTTAGCTAAAGGAAAATAGCAGGGACTTGGTATTTCAGTTGTTTATTTTCTAGGTCACTGCCACCCTTCAGCTTTGAGGACCAGGCAGGCAGTCCCTCCTCAGTGGCCCCTCTAAGCAAATCCATCCAGAGCTGAGGGTCATACATTCCCCTCATTCTCTACAGTGGTTGGCAGCTTCAAGCTCTTGGGGAGAAATGTCTGTTTTTGTGGAATGATTTTGTCTGGGTTGTCCTTATGGCCAGAAGTCTTTCTGAGGTGACACTGCAAGTGGCTTTGTCATGGACCAATAAAACTGAAAATGTAACTTATTAAGCCCTGAATTGTTTACGCACCAAATCCTTTTATTTTTGAAGCAGTGAGAACATTAGGCTTCCAGCTAAACTGTCACTTACTGGTTTATAAAATCTAGTAAGTTCATTGGAGAGGAAGTGCTCTACAAGTATAAAATACAAATTAGATTTTTCTTTTTGACCACTAGGTTTCTAATGTTCCTCCTTAGACTGAGATTGGGATTTTTGTTTGGTTTGGTTTGGGTTTTGTTTGTGTATTAGGGCAGACACTACCTCTTTTTCATTGTTGCGTTTTTGACACAGGTGCAAGAGCTTAATATATGTGGTTGAATCAATGATCGAGGTTCAGAAGAGTCAAAGAAAAACTTCTGTTTGTTGATAGCTACTTCAGACATTACCCGTGATCTACCAATTATGAAGTTGGACCATTTGGAAACAACGTTAGAAAATTGTCTTGGTATTGTGTTTGCTGTTGAAGTTGAATTTTCCTTTCTTCAAGAATCTGTGCTTCCCACTTTATTGAGTTGCTGTTGTCCAGTGATGTTCTCATATCTAAGATGGTTTTGTGTTTTGGTCTAAGGATTTGAGAAAGCAGTTCGTGTTCTCAAACTTGTGCTGAACAAACATTAAGTACCCTTGTTGAATTGTGAAAAAAACAAAGAAAATTCTCAATTGCTGGTAATTTGCCTGATTAGAACCCTTTTCTTTCCTTTCTCAAGGCTTCTCCTACTCCAGAGAGGGGATCTCATCCAGGGCCATGATACTACTTCCTCATCATCCATGTGCTGCTTGGTCGAACTAATGCTGCAGGAGCCCTGGTCCTTTGCAGAGGAATCAAGCTGACTCTTGGCATGAGGCCCCTGCTTTGTGGGGCTTGAGAGAGACACTGCCATGGCTTCTCTGGATGACCCAGGGGAAGTGAGGGAGGGCTTCCTCTGCCCTTTGTGCCTGAAGGACCTGCAGTCTTTCTATCAGCTTCATTCACATTATGAGGAAGAGCACTCTGGGGAAGACCGTGATGTCAAAGGGCAAATCAAAAGTAAGAGACGAAGATTTTGCTTATCCCCTTCTGCCATCGGGAGCTTTAACTCATGGCATAGTTTTCATCAGCTTCCATGTTGCTGCCAGAATATGAAAATAATAATCATAAATTAATAATAATAGTCACAAACATATATCTAGTGCTTACCATGTGCCAGACATTGTTAAGAGTCTTTCCATGTATTAACTTCATTTAATCTTCACAATTGCTATGTGACTATGAGCCCCATTTTCCTGTTAAGGGTATCAGACACAGAGTTGGATAACCTGCCTAAAGTCACACAATGAGGCAGAGCCAGCCAGTCTTTGAACCTAATAAATGTAATTACTGTGCTCTGTTGTCTCTTGCTAGACTTTCAATTATCTACCCTAAGAGGGTTTTAGAGTAGAAACCCTCTTAGGGTAGATAATTGAAAGTGGAGGCACATTGTTGACTCATTTACTTGTCACAAATTCAAAACTTTTCTGCCATCCTTTTTTGAACTAGGCCTTGTCCTCTGCAGCCCAGGAAAAGGAATGTCATAGATGAAAAGCAAAGAAAACCAAAAAAAGTTAAAACTTGGTATTTGAGCTTCCAAGGGCTCAGGTCTTAGAGAGTTGCAGAAATAATTTCTCAAAGTAATTTTAACTATACAGTGTTTATTTCCTGGACTTCAGATTCTAACCCCTACATACAAAGCTGCTGCTCTAGAGTTCACTTTTTAGTGATTCAGCTAACCTGCTTCTTACAGCTGGTAGCATGTCTGAAGGCAGTGAGAGTAAAGAGATCTGGATGCTGTATTCACAGTTCTTTATTGGGTAGGAGAGAAAGGAATGATCATGTATTTGTAAGTGTATTTTGGCCTCCACACATTGCCAGTAACATGCACCCTGCAATCAAATAGTCACATTCTGTCACATTTTTCAGTTCAGTAAAAAAGAGTTGCTGAAAGCGTTAACATTTATAACATATCAAAAAACATGATAAAACATTTTCAAAATCCTGAGGGCTATGATGGACCAGGTGGTTTCTGGCTGGAACAAGACTGTGACAGGAGGCCAAAAAAAAAAAAAAGTTTTTTGTGCTGTATAGTTTTCAGAGTTCTTTCACATATGTTATTTCATTTGACTCTTCAATCCTGCAGGAAGGTGGTTGGTCTCATTTTACAGAGAAAAAATAAGGCTCGGAGATGTTGAATAACTCATCCAGAGTCACACAGGAATTGACCTCTAAGTCTAATGCTGCTTTTTCCACATGGTATCACCGATGATGTGAGGTCCTGTATTCCAATTGCAGCGTGTTCTGCAGCTGGAAGACAAACTGATTATTTTGGTTTCCTTTGGACAACTGAAGGGCCTCATGATTTTCAATGAGTGTCCAGTCAGTGTCAGCTGAACTGGGTCTTACACTGTGATATCACTAAGACTTTGATGCCAGTGGGTAAAGAGGTTATAGAATGTCCTCAGATTCCTGTGATAACTCTTTTATTAGAGGAAAAACGTTTAAGGTTATTTAGGGAATAATAGATATAGAATCTATTTGGAGGATACTAAATAGAGTAGAAATTTTGTTCCATGTGAAAGAAACTTGAAAGTATTCACTTGTTTTTTTACCTCCATTCCCCTCGCCCTCTCTACCTCTACCTTGAACCAAAAGATTTGAGTTAAGCATTCTTTAGTAGGGAAGGAATTCTTGATTATGTTGTAGTTTTCATGTTTCAGAATCAGGAAAGTAAAGTTTTAAAAATTAATATCAAAGATTTTTGAGAAAGTCCTTTGAAAAGCAGATCACCTCTCCATTTGGTCTTTTGATTCTTAGGTTTGTGACATTACTAGTTTAGGGAAATGAAATGTTAAAACCAAGAGTGACCCTTGGTTTCACATTTTGGAGGCAGTTTAGAAAAGAAAATATAAACTTGATATTACTAAAAAGTTGTCGCTGGGTTTGGGCTTCATCCTTGGTTCAGCTTCAGTTTAGCACATCTATAGTAAGTAGAAGAAAAGGTGGGTGAGGATTAACTTTGGCTTCTGTTTCGTAAGTGTTTTAAAAAGCATATTGGATTGTTCTTAATTGGCCTCTCTTAAAGGGCTATACCAAGCCTGGGAAGGATGCCAGGCACTTTATCTATGCCTCTTAAAGTGATTTAATGGCATGGACTGCCTGTTTAACTTGACACAGTTTAGTCTTGTTTGCAAAAATGAATTGGTGTTTGCAAACTCAAATTTCTTGTGCGTTGGACCCTTTGTTTACATCGGATACTTTCCTCTCCACTGTTAAGAAAGACTAATATATTTTAGAGGGTGTCCTTTAGTTCTGGAAGACCTTGTTTTTCCAGTTGAAGAAAGCTATCATCAGAATGACTGATGATCAGGAAATTTGCATATTAACCTGACTGTCTAACAAAGACATGTCTATAACCTTATCTGTTTTACCCACTACCTGCCAGCCCCTCCATGTCTGCATTTATCTAGATATTTGAAAATCTGTGGGAGTGTTTTTAATGTTATTCAAGTGACAGTGTACTTCAAAATCATATCATTTTGTATTATATCATTTCGCATTATATCATTTTGTATTAAATTTGATATTTCCTATTGGATTCTAGTAGCAGAGAGGGATAGCAGTCACCCAAGATTTAAGAACATTAATGAGAGCAACTTAGAATTGTGACTTTTCTTCCCACCAGTAGACTGTTGTTCCATTTTAATAGTAAGTCCTTTTACCTCGGTGCAGGTGGCAGAACCCCTCCCTGTTCTGCATAGGCATGATATTCAAATTGATGCTAACTAGGGAGAGTTGGGGCTCTCGTTTCAAATATATGAGGTTTCCAGTTCCAGCCCTGCTGCTCATAAGCTCTCTGATTTTGGGCGAAGCAAATTTTCCCCCTCTTTGATGTCATGTCCGCGTTTGTAAGTAGGGGTACCAGCTGCCTCACAATGTGAGCGTGAACTGACGTAATGTATTTGAAAGCACTTTGCTCTGTGGCTGGTACATACAAGGGATCAACTTAGGAAACATTTTCTCTTCTTACCAAGTCTAATTCCCTTTGTGTTATATTGTAGGTGTTATAGGTCTCTTGAAGCTTTTTGTCACTATTCTCACACATGCATTTAGTAAGTGAATAGGTGAAGAAGAACTCTATGTACAGTTAAGCATTATGGGGAACAGCAGCCCTGGGATGTTGGTTTGGCTGAATCATTCAGGAGGTAAACAAGAAGTGTTTACTCATGAGTCCCTAGGGTTAATAAATTAGTACTGTAGAATTTGATTTTAAAAAATATTTATTTTAATTGAGATATAATTTACACATAAGTTTTTAAGTGTGCTAGTCAGTGAATTTTGATAAATGTACATACCCATGTAACCACCTCTCCAATTAATTAGTAGAAAACACTTTCCTCACCTTGGTCCCCTCATAAATTTTAAGCCTTTTATTGAATTGGGCTCATATTTGGCAGTGAGCAGTAACTTAGCTATGCATTGGCCACACAAACCAACTTACTGCTAATACTGCCAAGTGAATAGATTGCTCTGTGGTATTTGTAATACAGTGGTTGCGTGCTTATAATTGTATTTTATTTGGGATCCAAATTTTTTTTGAGCATTTTTATACAGAGCATAATTATTTCTTCAATTCTTGTGTTTTAAGACTTCCTTTGACTCTTTACTGGATATTCTTCATGGAATCATTTATGCTGTTTGTTTCATTTTTTCAAGGTCTTGTCCAGAAGGCTAAGAAAGCAAAGAACAGGCTGTTGAAACGAGATGATGACCGAGGAGAATCGGGGACCCAAGGATATGAGTCTTTCAGTTATGGGGGGGTTGATCCTTACATGTGGGAACCCCAGGAACTTGGTAAGAAATTCTATTCAGTCATTCAGTAAATGTTTATTGAGCATCTCTATGTTCTAGGTAATGTTTTCAGAGTTGGCTGGGGGAGGCACCAGTAAACCAAAAGGTCTAAGCTGCTTGTGGATCTTATGTCCTAGTGGCGGGGGAGGAAATGAACAAGAATGAGCTGAGCAGCTGCCTCGCGTTCGGCACTGCATTAAATGCTTTCCATGTGTGCTGTTATTCAATCCTTGCAGCACCCCTTGGGGACCTGCCCAGGGTCAGACATCTGGGAAACTGCAGAACTGGGATAGGAATTCAGGTCTGTGACATCAGCCCAGGCGCAGAGTCCATTGACTGGGCTATCTCCTGTCAGATGACACATTATTTGCCTAGTAAGAGGCACTAGTTTGTGCAACTTAATTTTCTAAAACACATAATTATAGTATCATCTACTTACTTTCAAAATAATCATCTTTTTTGAGATGATGAAAGTATTCTAAAATATATTCTGGTGATGGTTGTACAACTCTGAATACACTAAAAACCACTGAATTTGTACATTTTAAATGATGAATTATATATATGTGAATAATATCTCAATAAAGCTATTACCAAAAAGGTCATGCCACACAGAGTAGAACTAGCTAATCTTACCTGTCCTTTAACTATTGAATGATAACAATTATGAATATAATATTTTCTGTCCATGCAATGGATAAATAATGATCCTTTTATAGTGCTTTATTATATGTTCATATTTATTATCTTGTTCACTTTTCACAAAAGCCTTGAGAAGTAGAATGGCTAGTGACGTTCATTCCCATTTATAGATGAGGAAACAGGCTCTAAGAAGTGAAGTGTTATTTACCCAGGGTCATCTACCATATTTTTATAGTGCCACTACAGAACGTGTCTTTTTGGATGAGGAAAACCCTAGAACTGCACTGTCCAAAATGATGGCCACTAACTGTATGTGGCTATTTAAATTTAAGTAAATTGAAATTAAATGTGAGTTCTTCAGGCATACACTAGCCACATTTCAAGTGCTCAATCTCCACATGTGCCTAGTGGCTACCATATTGGAGAGTAGAAACATTTCCATCATGGCAGGAGAAAATGGCTTTAAAAATAATACTATACACGTGTAATTATGAGTTACATCTGAAAGCCAGTTAGAAACACAAAGGAGGAATTTCAGGCATGTGAATTCTAACTAGCCTTTTGATAGCTTCTTTCATGATTGTCAGTGTTAAATTATCCACGTGATTTTCTGATTAACTTATCTGTTTCAACAACTGAAGAAGGTCACAAATGACTGAAAGGTGAAATGAATGGCAAATTTTAGAAGTTAATATTTACAGTCATCCCTAAGAACTTGAAACTAAAATTTAAATGTTAAGAGTATGGTTAGGGAAGAAAAGATACATGGATGCTTTCCTGGTTTTTGAATTTTTTGTCAGACTCTAAAATCCAAGAATTTTTATTTGTTTTTTGAAATTTATTGAGACTAAGCAGCAAGGTAGAGAGGCTTCCTCAGAGAAATAACAACTCATTTCTCAACTCCTCTTCTAGGTGCTGTGAGAAGCCATCTTTCTGACTTCAAAAAACACCGAGCTGCCAGGATTGACCACTATGTTGTTGAAGTCAATAAATTAATAATCAGGTTAGAGAAGGTAAATTTTGTTGTTTTAAAACACTTTTTTTTTTTTCTGCAAGCATAAATTTTCTGGAGGGAAAAATTACATTTCTGCATCATGTGTCATGTACATTGTACATATCTGATGCTGGCAGAGAAACGCGCCACCTGGAGAGGTACAGAGTACGTGGTGGACAGTTGTAACCTGGCTTGTTGTACTGAAGGGAATGACCCAGGTTGACAGACTTGCCACATATCTAGCTTCCCTTTTTATCCTATGAAGCCCTTTGGCTTCTGGAAAACCTGTCTGCCTTCAGATTCTTTCCTCTTCTGGGTGTTCCAGGCACAATCATGCAATGGAGCATAGTGTGTGATATCATTTGTTGGCAGGGAAGCTGGTGACTAGGTCTATGAGAACTTAGTCGGGTCTAGCATGTAGTGTGGGAACATCTGGTTGGACCTTCTTGTCCTGTGGTACGAGATTGTGACTTCCCTAGCATGATCACTCTGATTTACTTTGACCTTAGAAATACTTGTGTATTAGCTGGATTGTGTGGTGGTCATGATAGCAACAAGTACAGTTCTATATGTGTGCTTTGCAGGGCAGAAATATATGGCCAGTTTCATTGTCCAGGAGGACTATGGAGAACTGGGAGTTCCCCATTGCTTTCAGTAGCCACTCCCACAGCATCTTTGCCTACCCCTGGTTATTGCTTAAAGGGCTAAAAATAAAAATATTGGAAGTAGGTCATAGGAAGGGAAGTGCCTTCTAGATTATTCCATGTGAGATTGCTTTTGTGACTTTGTGGGGTTGGGGATAACAGATGAGACTTGAGAAATACAGATGTGGTAATTTCCACTTGACGCCTCTTGCTTGTGGAAAGTATATCCATCACCTGACTAATTCCATTTGGCACTTTTATCTTGTCAGCTCACTGCATTTGACAGAACGAATACCGAGTCGGCTAAGATCCGAGGTAACACTAGAATTTTGCTCACATTCAATTTATCTTTCTCCCTGACGAAATTTCTTTTTTAAAATGACTTGCTTTTTGTTTTTTTGTTTGTTTGTTCTTCTCAAAGCAATAGAAAAGTCCGTGGTACCTTGGGTCAATGACCAGGATGTCCCTTTTTGTCCAGACTGTGGGAATAAGTTTAGTATCCGTAATCGCCGCCACCACTGCCGTCTCTGTGGGTCTATTATGTGCAAGAAGTGTATGGAGCTCATCAGCCTTCCCTTGGCAAGTAGGTAACGTGGAGGCAGGGCCCTTGACTCTGATCTCCTCCAGAGACTAGCTTGTTTGCTAATCACCACTGGGTGATTTTTTGAACTTTTTTGTTTAAATTAATGGCCAGTGGGATCTTCAGTCATTCACTTGTTGATTTCATGAAGCCCACTACAGGCTAGGCACTGTGCTAGGGGCCAGGGATACAATGGTTTGTAACAGAGGTTGACGAATTTTTTCCATAAAAAGTCAGATAGTAAATATTTTAGGCTTTGTAGGCTATGTATGGTCTCTGTGACATTTCTTCTTCATTTTTTAAACCACTTTTTAAAAATTTAAAAACCATATTTAGCTCGAGGGCCATACAAAAATAGGCTGGACTTGGATTACAGGTCATGTTTGCCTACCTCTGGTACATACGGCATTGTCCATTCCCCCAAGGGGTCCTAGCAGGGGATACAGACTCACAAACAAATAATTGCTTTATAAAGAGGTAAGTATGATGAGAGAAGTTGTGTCAAGCACCCAGGAGAGCTGACCATATCTTTAGCAGCTCCGCTTCAAAGTTGAAGATGAGGCTTTGAGAGGAGACTATAAAACAGGGTCTTGAAAAATGAGCAGCAGGCTAATCCTTTCCTTTGAGATAAAAGTTATAGACAGACATCGTCATATAGAACAGACTTTAGTGTTATAATATGAAAAACATATGAGGAAGAGCAGAAACATGGATGCTCATGGTTGGGAGATGATACTCGAGAAGAGCTTTGAAAGATGACTAGGGTTACAAGGAGATGGGGCAGGAGGGCATCCTGGGTAAAGAGAAGGACAAAAGGCGTAGAATTTGGAAAGGCCCTGGGGAAGGTTAGTGGATGAGCAAGCAATAGGACTGTGGAGAACATGTTTGAGAATTATGGGAATGAGGCTACAAAGGCTAGGTGGAACCAGATGCCCGGAACTTCGAATCTCAGCTGGGTAAAAGTTACTAAAGATGATCTTATAGGCTTTTGGCCAATTCTGGGACATTTGGGGTGGCTTTGCAACCCTAGAGAGTTCTACTGACTCTGCCATGTTATGTTGGCTATAGGGCATCTGAACAGCAGGTGCTTCTTCTGTCCAGCTCTGACATCCACTGGGCACAAATTACCTTGATACTCTCCCTTTCTCCCTGAGATCAACTCCCTGTCTCACCTGAGACTTCATAAGCTATATTTTTGGGACACTATTCATATTTCTTCTGTTGGGCTAATTAACCAACGTTTACTGGGCGGCTGCTATGAAGTAGCCCTGTTGTAGGGTACAAATATGAATAAGACACAGTTTCTGACCTCAGAGACATAGATTCCCAGGACAGCTCTGGGGTGTACATAGACCTGTCATACAGGGAGAAGAGTAGGAAGTTCTCCAAGAGGGGTGATGTGGTAGGAACTGCTGATAGGAAGGGAAGATCATTTTTGCCTTAAGGGATAAGGGAGGGCTTCCTAGAAGATGTGCTGTTCAAACTAAACTTTGGAAGGGGTAGGAGTCAGGTGTTTGGGAGTGGAGAAGGCTGTCAATATAGTCCAGGGAGAATATAGGTTGTGTCTGAAGCATGGCAAATGGAGGAGGGCAGTAGGTGGTAAGGCCAGGTTAGGGGCATGCCTCGATCCTCAGAGATAGACTGTCCAAGGCCATCTGGCTGGCTCTTTCCTGGCTGACAACAGGAGTCCTTCCCTCCGTAAAACCTGACCCCAGGAAGGTATAGGTGTCGGTGCTTCTTGCCCAAAGGCAGTGCCTACTCTTAATTCATCAGCACCCATGTACTCCCCGTCATGGGCAGTGGGGTGATTGAAGGCTATAGACTCACTGCTGCCTGTTCTATGTTGTGCTTTACAGACAAGCTCACCAGTGCCAGCAAGGATTCCCTGAGTACCCACACCAGCCCCAGTCAGTCACCCAACAGTGTCCATGGCTCCCGTAGGGGCAGCATCAGCAGCATGAGCAGTGTAAGCTCCGTCCTGGATGAGAGAGATGATGACCGAATCCGCTGCTGTACACATTGCAAGGACACACTGCTCAAGAGAGAGCAGCAGATCGACGAGAAGGAGCACACCCCCGACATTGTGAAGCTCTATGAGGTGACTCCTTATGTTCAGTCCTTGGTCTCATTTGAGAAGCAGATTTGGCTTTTCATTACACACATGCCTGCACATTTTGAAAACTGCTTTGGGAAGTTGTTCTTTTTAAACATTTTTAGTTTCTGCTAAATGACCATGGTATGATTTCCTAGTGAGGGCCCTGGATGAGTCACAGAGTCATACTGGGTATGTTGCTGCAAACTTGTTCCCTCACCTTTCCTTGCCTTCTTGAAAGTAGAGGTTGGTGGCTTTGGTGGCCTAGGGACAGGAGGAGAAAGGATGGTTGCCATGCAGTGTGGACAGTTTTTATGCACGAAGGCAGAAGCTGGAGATGGTGATGAACAGTGCCAGAAAAGTTCTGTGACATTTGGGAGCTTCAGGCTTTACAAGTTTGAGTAACTGCCTGTCTATAGGCTTAGAGCTTCCGCTTTTTAGTCCATTCACATGCCTCAGCTCTTGTTACCACTAGCGACCCCAGAACACCTTTAGTAGATACTATTTTGAGAGGAACATAGTATAGTGCCAAAACAAGATTTAGGATTGGACTGGCCGGGCCTTCTAATGGCCAGAGGAGACCTGCAAGCTGAGAAGGATTAGCCAAGAGGAGGTGAGGCAAGGAGGTGGTAGGAGATGGGGAGGAGGGAGATGAGCCCTGGTAGAGGAAACAACTCAGGCAAAAACTGAGCAGAAGAGTGTATATTTGTCCGATGATCACTGAATGGTCACTGTTAGCAGTTCTACAGGTCATGAAGGCTGTGTTTCTGGAATCACTGTGAAACTACTCAGGCTACTAGAAATAGTGTTAATTAAACCCTTTGTTCAGCTGCACATGTAGCCATTATACATCGTTTATGCAGAGTTCATGACCTGGTAACTCATATTTGGAAATAGCCACTGTGCTTTTTGCTTCCTTCTTTTTTGAAGTATGCTCTGTAGATGCCTTGTGCTGGTGTCTTGCATCTCCTGACAGTAAGAATGTAGCAACTGCTTCCTTTTCTTTGCCTTGATAAACTCTGGCTTGTGTCCTGGAAGGCTTTGCTCCTCTCAAAAACATCCAGTCAAAAGTTTTGCCCTCTCTTTCCTTCCTGCAAAATTTTCTGCTTGTAAAGTAAGTCTGTGAGTCAGGAAATTGATAACAACAGTAAAAACAAACAAAATGAAACAAAAAACTACTATCTACATTTTAGAAAACTGCATATTTTAAATATATCTCTATTGATGCAGCATAACCTGTGGGTAGGCTTTTGTGTGCCCTTAGAGCACCACTCACTTTCTTTTTTGTTCTTAGAAATTACGACTTTGCATGGAGAAAGTTGACCAAAAAGCTCCTGAATACATCAAGATGGCAGCATCATTAAAGTAAGCTGTTCCTCTTTGTTTTTCTAATTCAATGACTCTTGGTATTTTAGGTCATATCTTTAGTAGCTGAAAATGAAAATCTTAACTCTGGCCATGCTTTTCTTTTATGACCGACTGCTGAGAATCTTTGTCATGTCTATTGTTTTCATGTTTGGGGTTTTTTTTTCCCCCAATTTATTTATTTAATTATTTAATTTAATTTATTTAATTAGTTTCAAGTATACAATACATTGGTTAGACATCTATCTAGTTCGTAAAACGATCCTCCCAAATTGTTCCCTCCCTCCTCTGACCCTCCACCTAGCCAATGTATTAATGCTAACTGCATTCCCTATGCCATGCTCCCCATCCCCATGACCATCCA